AGTGTGAGAGTAAAGTCTTACCTGTTACGGTATGTATCAGTATTCATATCCTACTCTTCAAAGATCAAAATCCGCGAGTATGCATCAAAGGCATAAGTAATGCAATTCCGTCGTTATTCTTAGCGAGCTCCTACAATAATGGATTAAAAAAACGGAAATAAAAGTTGAAAATGAATAAATGACTAAAATATTCAATTGTCTCACTCTTTGAAAAAATATCATTTATCATAAACCAATTTTACATTATTTATAGTATAGGAATTAGGGCGCAGTAGATCTTTTAATGGTCTTATTATAGCAAAAAATCGATAAAATAGAAATCTTAAACTCAGTAGAAGGTACGATTAAGATACAAGTAATATCGCTAGCTTGATTATGTGGTAATCTTAGCTAGAGAACTGGGCACGAGAAAACAGATACTGCATTACGAACCATAAACTTCTCGAATCTTTAGGCTACATTTTTATCTTAATGCTTTAATTGCCTAATATCCAAAATAATATTTTATTTTTGCTTAGGCTATGATTGTTAAACCTTGTAATCTTAAATAACGCGTACAAAAATTTAATTTAAAAATTTTGTTTAGGTACCATTTCTTCATGTTAGTCTTTAAATTACATTAAAAAGATAATAACAGATAGAGCAGCAAATTTGCTATCCTTTAGTAACAAATCAGTTTTTTAGACATTTTTACAAAAGGCAGCATCTGGTCGTCAACATGCATCTTTAGTCGATAATATATCAAATAAGCACGTCAAATGAAGCTAAAATAGCCTTAGTTAATTCTCTAAGAGATTATCCCAGCGGGAATCTTTCCAAATACGACTAGAGTAATTTTCATAGGATACTGAAAACTGAATTATATTGCTATGGTAATTTCTAAAATAAAGAGCTCATTAATATTAACAATATTTCCCTTATTAAAATATTGTTTAATACATTTACATAGGGCAGTTTGTAAAATGATCGATTTCGCATGCGGTCACGTTCATATATAAGTTATATATTTATAGTGAACGATTTTCGTCACATCTAATCTAATATTGCACTTTTGCTAAAGCGCTTTTAGTGTTAAATTCGTATGCATTCTTGGAAATTTATTAAATTTTAAAAGATTGCTTCTAAACAGCATAACTTATGATGACTCTTTCGGATATAAACGCTTTTCAAACTCATATCGATGCACTCACTTTTGTCTTCTAACAAGATTACTAAAAACTCAAAATTTTAAAACCAGACACTAGTTAGTAATATGGATAAGGCATTAGATTCATTTTTGTTCTAACAACATTCGTAGTCAGCTTATTAAGGGAAAGTGAGTATCTTCAATTTTTTGTATTTTAATTTAAATCACGGTTTTAATTCATTTTCATATATAATAAACATTTTAAGACTAATATTGATTTAGAATGCTATTATTCGAGGAAATTAAATTGCTGTACTTCAGCTGTCATTTTCATCATTTGTTCATATTGAAAAAATGCCTTATTATGTAGAGGCTGCATATAAAGGATGTACGAATATCTTTTATCTAGAATTTAAGTCTCAACGAGTATGAAAATTTATAAATTGGTATTCATAATATGATATGACTTTCAATATACTAATCACTGGAAATCTTATTAAAGTTCATAAACGCAGTGTTCTTGGTAAAAAAAATATGGCGTGTGATATTAGTACCACATTCACCATTTTGGCGCCGTATGGACTTATCAGTCACAAATTAATAATTAGTTCGTCATAATAATGCCCAGCCATAAATTGAACTTTTACTTCAATTTAAAATAGAGCTTTTGTAAGCAACTACGTAGAAGAAATACTTATTATTGTAGTAGCCTTGTAATGTAGACAAATTGTTGACTATACAAGATCGAAAGCACACGTAGTATGCAAAAATAAATTGAATTTCATTGATCAAATTATTTAGTAAGATGAGTAAATTGCTATATTGATGCGGAAGCTATTTGGAAAGAAGTAAACGGGCATCGATAACCAAAATCACAAAATGCAACTACAATAATAATATGAATATTAAGTCATCGCTCCAATGATGAAATAGTCGACATGCAAGATCTTAATGTTATTAAATAATCGCTGTTAAGTATTTATAAATTCTTGCTATTCCGATTCAGTTACGTAAGGGCCTGTGGTCATCAAAAGCCATGTTTTAACTTCTTAGTATTGCGTCTAAAGCATACCATAATCAAGTAGGTTTAGAGTTGTGTTCGATTTCTACAATATTTTCAAGCCGATCACGTTTCGATAGTTGACATTAAGATACTTCAATAGACTTTTCACTAAACTATAATAATTTCATTACAAGGTGCGAATAGAAAGTAAAATTCTGCTTTAGAAATTGATTATCGGTTATTATATTCTTGACAAATAAAATTAAGAATAGATATTAAATTGCGAGGATGATAAGGCTAGTATTCACTAGACTGATTTTATTGCATACAGAAATAATCGACTTGAGGGTAACTGTCAACTGACTTATCGGTGTTGTTCAATTAATTATTGGTTGTATTTTACTTCAATAGTAGTAATAGAACTGGCTTTAGTTCAGGGTTATTGTAGGTATTTTTATTAAAAAATACAATAGCCGAAGACTAACACGTAGAGAAATATTCAAGTAGAATGATGTAATTTTTACACACTAATTGGCGTAAGATGAAACCAATGGCGTTAGAAGATATTAGATTGCTATTTTTATCGAAGACCTGCAGACGGTTCTTAATCGTTACATTAGGTATATCATTTCTTTTTTTGATCAAATCTTTAGCAGAGATTAAATCACGGTATATAAATTTTTCCATGTTGACATTTTAATGAGATACCGGTACAAAATTTTACCGGAATAAATCATGGCAAGAATTTTGCCATTCTTTCTATCTGTATTCCAAAATTAGAATTAAAAATACGCAAGAAAAATATTGTTGTCTATCAAAATTAGAATTTTGAGCAGACTGTCAGTAAAATGGATACATTTCTGCTATAAAGGGTGTATAGGATAAATTTTAATAATCTAATTCCGGAATTCTTAAACTTGGGTCCTTTTAGCTGATTCTTATTGAAAAATTAAAAGAATGAAATTGGTTGACTGTAAAAAATAATTTACAATTTCAATTTAGTAGAATAACTATCGCTTTTTTGTTGATTTTCTTTTCTGGAAATAAAAATACAAAATGTCAAATGATATCATAAGGTTGTAGAATCTTATAATTCTAGCCATTGTCTTTAACTAAATAATTACTACCTGGATCTTAATATATGCTACCTTGCAATAAAGATTATTTTAGAGACAGAAGATAGAAAAATAATTATAATGAGGCACACAAATGAATTATAAAAATAGAAGTATTTTACAAAAAGACGAAATTGAAATTGTAACTTTGGAAGTAATGTCTTACTGTCTAGTTTTACATTTATAGTTAATTGATCAAAATCTACTTATGAGTAAAAGGGTCTGGTATAATGACGGGTAGTAATTTAATTAAATGTTATCGGCATTGATGTCAGACCATGGATTTAAAAACTACGGTTTGAGATAGGACGTATCATTGGCGAAACTGCCGTTATGTCTTATGTGCAAGTACTTTCAACATGGTACTCAGAAGCAGATGTTAATATTTTCTTTATAGTATAATAAAACTTCATATACTGTACAAGCTCGATTTTTCTTCTTCCTTGTTGACATTGCTAATGTCAATCATCATATTAAATATGGCTAATAATTCTAAATTTCTTTTTTACGGTATCATTGCTATTCTGGAGTTATTCTAATAAGGATAAGACAGAATTACAATAATCACGAGTCATCTTGACTCATTCTATTTCTATATTTGTCACTCTCAATAAAACAGTAATGATTGACAAGTTATCCAGATTACTTAGTAATGTTCAATTAATTTCAAAGAATGGTTAATATTTTGTTACTGTATTTGACTTATCATTTTTAATAAAAAAACTGGCTTACCCTAATATTTACATTTTTGAGTTATGAACTAGTATCATAATACAGTGTTAACATTTTGTTTCAGCAAACGATGATTACATCAATGAAATTTAGCATATTTTAGCATATTACTGATTTCGTCCGAATCTCGTACACATCTTTTTATAGTCAAAATAATTAAAGGAAACATTTTTTTACATATTATTCAGAGCTGGGTAGCCATGGAAAATAGATTTTCATAGTCTAAATGAATTTTACATAATTTAAACATCCAACCGACCCATTTACTCCTGTAAACGTAAATATCGACAACTCTATTGATACTCTCAAAAATAGAACGGATCATCCTTTCATTAAAATTAATCTTGTTATTGAAGTATTATTACAATCTGTAACTTAACGTATAGTAAATTCATTTTATTGAGATTCTAAAGCCAGTATGAAGAATTGCCTGCTTAATGAGATTGCTTATGCTAATTGCAAATTGATAATCTTTCCATAACTATTGAACAAGAGTAAGCTTTCCACGCCTATTTGTCGTCATTATTTCTTATACGGCAATTAATACGCAATCATACTATTTTACGTATTTGTATAGAATATTGCATATTATGAACAAAATGTATAGTATAATATATTTTTAGAAGATTGATATTACATTATTTCATGGTTAATTTTGTAGATTTAATTTAATAAACATTTTTCTTCACATGCACTAATGATATTTAAAATTTAAACGAATATATACGCGTTTCTTTATTATCTTGCTTTGATTTTTTAGTTTTCATTTTTATCAAAAATTTATGACAAGAATTGTTTTTAAATTCTGAAGGACGGCAAACCTTATTTAAAATATATTAGTTAGATAATTTTTCGACTCTTTGTTTGACTGCTTCGCTAATAAATATTACATGCATCACTTTCAGACGGATAAGAAATAATTGATCCAAAAAATCACAAGTATAGATTATTCCAGCCGATACAACGCATCAGGAAAGCGATCACAATTTTAATCCATTCAAATTGAATAATCCCTATCCAAGAAATGTCTTTCGTGAAAAAGGATCTCTTCACACCATGCTTAGATGTTCACTTCTTTCTAAGTCATAATGTAACCGCCATTGTCTATCGTAAGTTAACCGAATTTGAAATTATGGTCTCAATTGTATGGAGTATACTTTTCGTTTGTATTCTCCTATCCAATCTATTGGTACTGGGCGTTATTTGCTTTAAGCGATCACTTCGGAATCATAGTAGTTTATTGGTCGGTAGCTTGTGCTTAGCCAACATAACTTACGATTTTATGTTTGTGTTGCCTGTTAAAGTACTCAATATACGCAATTCGATCCACTCTTTCGTTAATATTTATTGTCAGTTATCACCAACAGTGATACAATTTGCCTTCGTATGCTGTATGAATTTTCACATTTGCTCCATTAGCTTGGAGAAATTTATTGCCATAACATCGCCATTTTGGTATAACCAAATTAGTATTTATAAATCAGCTATGTTTGTAGTTATCCTTCTTGTGTGTTGGATTTTACCTACTTTTGTCGCATTCTTGCCGTTAATAATTGGATGGTGGAAAATTTGCCCCAACTTTTGCTTGCTATCCGAAGCAAAGGAAAATCGTTATCAAAGTTTACAAGCATGGCACATCTTCTGGTCATTTTTGATGTTTTTATTGCCCACAATAGTTATGATGGTATTCTATGTTCGAGTCTATTTAGTAGCTCGTGATCACGCAAGAAGAATCCACTGTACTAGTGTAGGTATTCAACCAGCTGTAACTTTAAAAGCAACCAAAGCTGTAGCAATTATTGTTGGAGTCTATGTCATTCTGCAAACACCGTACAACATACTACAAGTTATCACTGTTGTTGATTACCGTGTTATACCCGGAGAAACTCGCTATTTGCTTCGTGAATGGCTAGCTTATGCTGCTTCTTGGAATTCTGTTGCTAGCCCTATTATTTACGGTTTCTACAATAAGAATTTGCGCAGTAATATTATAGCCCTTGTATGTCGTTATAAATCCGCGCGCTTTAGAAATGTTAGTCGTACATCATTACTATCTAAATAGTCGATTAGTTAAGCAGATAACTACAGAAGCAACGAAAATAATCATATTTGGTTTTATTCCATAATAGTAACTTGATATTCAATCTAAAACCGAGAAGAAAATTGAACTAAAGTTAAAACAGGTTTATCACGCCTTTATAGCCAGTTATTTACAATATGCAAAATACAAGAAATAAAGCAACGCGATCAACCCGTTATCTGCTATTCTAATTTGTATGCTGTATATGTCAAGTTTATGCTACAAGCTGATGTATATAATATATCTTTACAGTAGAGACGGCTATGGTCAACATTTATTTAGCATTAGATTAACAGTAGTAAAATAGAATATACAAGATAAAACTTGTTTTGCAGGATATTTATAGCTGTAATGTGTTTAAATTTTTCATTACTTATTTGTTGCTTAGTATATACCTTCTACACATCTATCATGCATTGTAGATTGTAGCAACGTTGCATTATTCTTTTATCTCATCAGATATAATATTGAATTGTATAGCTAGAAAATAGACTATAATCAACGTTTCTTTAATAGCGGTGTTTCTGCTGCAGCCAATTATACTAACTTAATTGCTGTAGATGTTTCTGGTAAATTGTGCAATACCAAAGTACAAAATACTCAAGGTTTTTTCTTTTAATTTACACCTATTCAAAGGAACATAAACCCATTTTTCTCTCAGTCCAATGTATATCAACTCATTATATGTTTCCTTGTATACAGTAATTAAATGCTTGCTTCTACCAAATTGCTATCCTTGTTATTTTCTAATGTATGACCCATTAAAAAAGGTTGCTTTCCTGCTTTGATTAATAGTTGGTGTCTGTTACCATAGTACTTAAATACATAAATGACAGTAATTCCGTATTTAAATTACTAAGGCTATATTTAGCTGTGATAAAATATCCTTAATATTAAAATATAGTAAAATTGTGTATTTCTTACGACATGATAATTCTGTATTACGAGAAGTGGTCAAAATTATGCGTATATAAATCTATCCCTATATATATATAACATATATATATACATATACTGTAATAATATGCAATTACGAACTGCCTAAAATAGAACATTTTAAACTGATATTAACATGCTTAGAAATATTATTCAAGTTCCTGGCGATTAAATCGTGCCGTTTATCAACGCATTTCTATCGTTAATCATTATAAAATACAAACTGCTACCATACGTTCTCAATATCTTCATTCAATGTTAGCTATTAAGTCCCATATTAACTCGGAATATCAGCCGAAATCTGTTGATATATGATATCGAAGACAACCAAAAGTTGCTTTTGTGTGATCATCAACTGCTTAATTCAATATATAGTGCCTTAGATGGCAAAATAATCTGTCCTATAATTTTAGAATATAAATGTTAATGAGGCCACAAGAATTAAATCATGAGGTCAATAGTATACGAATTATAGAAATTCTGTGATCAATCTATGTCATTACATTCATTATTGCTATTGTCTTGAGTTCATTAATTTAACTCGTGACGGTAATATCAAAATTGAATTGATGTCTTTCCGTCAGGTTAAAGCTGATAATGCTCTAGCTTGTTTTATGTCTAAGCATCAACGGAATTTGTAAATGCAAAATTTTACTCTATAGTATCAGTTAACATCAAAATAAAATGTTCAGTCAAAATAACAGCCGGTGGCGGAAACATTCTTTTAATTTATCCATATATCCTCTTAAAAGCTGTGGTATTAGAATCGGCCAACAGATGAAATTAAGTACTCTTACAGTTACTATAGTCCTCATGCTTACGCTAGTCTTACTGCAATAGGTCTCCATTTGCTAAGTCTCATTAACTCGATTATTTTAACTTGAGAAATTACTTCATTGAATTACTTTTAAATTATAAAATTCGCCTTACTGCGGTAATGGTATTACGATGCAAGCTAAATTAAAATTTAATATTAATGCATTTATCTTGCTATCAGAATCTCATTAATAATGATCTTGTAATGGCCAAGTAATGGTCTCCTGCTATTACTATTAGCCACTTACTGTACTAATAGAATTAGCTGAAAACATTACAAATCTGTATTATTTTCTTACTGTGAGACTACTTTAATATTTTATAGTTCTAAATAGCAATTAAAATTTATTAGAAACTCTTATAGTTAAGCAGTTGCATAATAATTCAAACAAAAAATTATTTGGTTGATTATCAGAATTATAGATATAAGCCAATGACAATTACTGAAAGATATTTCTAATTTAGGTGAAGCAAAGTAATATAGTACTTTAAAATACCTCACTCCATGGATGAGTTGATTGCTTCAAGTATTTCGGAGTAAAAAAGGCTATAACAGTAAATTATGATTTGCTAGCAGTTATCTTTAAATGACTGAAATACACGTATATTAATTTTATGAGTAATGGAGATAACTATATCGGCAGATAGATAGAATTGTTAAAATAGAAACCAAAAATTTCTTGTCCTTGCATTACATATTGATAAAATACTTATGAAATACTATAATAAATGAATTTTTTACGAGATCCGTTAAGAGGAATCCCACCAGCGAAATAAGAGCAATTCGAGCAATCTTGATAAATTGATAAGTACTTGTGTAATCCTATCAGTTCTCATAAATTGAATATTTAAGTATGAGTTGTTAAAAAATAGAGAATTCCTAGCTATAGTATCCCCAAAAGTACATGTTACGGAATTAACTTGCCTAAATTATAGAGTTTAAGAAAGTATTGTTGCTGACAGCATTTCAGCATTATAGTGTCTACTGGTTATGAGCCTTTTAGAAGGGTGGTTCTTTGACGTTATAGTTGCAGTGCTATATTCTTACTAGATCTTTCGGCAGCTTATTAGGGTAGTAATTTGTAGAAGCAATTCAAAGTAAGTGCTTTACGTTAGACTAGTAAACTTGCCAGAAAGTACTCCGTGACAGTACAATACTGCAAAGGCTAAATTTCTCACACTCAAGCTTATATGGAAAGCTGAGAATTCCTTTTCTAAAATTTTGCATCGTTTAAGATGTGCGCGTAATATGACATACGTAGAATTTAATAAAATTACTTCTTTAGAAATCTGATCCTTTAATTAAGATATGTTTAAGAAAATTTTAAGTCATTGCACATGCATTTAGTTCCAACTGTCATTTAATCTAAATATATGCCATTTACTACGCTTGATTCACGAAAATAAAATAGGGATCGCAGTTATAGGAATTTAACAACAGTTGGACAACACCTGTGATTATTCACAATATATCGGCTTTATTCATTTCCAAGATTTCAATCACACGTAAATCAGTTTATTAAGCATATGTATGGCTTTCTAATAACTTTTGTATCAATAAATCTATTATAAATGCATCGTAAACAATATTTTCGATTAAAACTATTGTAATCTCATAGATTTCATAATTGAAGCCAAATCAAACAATAATAGACGTAGTACTTATAACGCCTATATTAAAGTAAAGGTTCTAATTCGTTGTACTTGTAGTAATAAAAGTTATGGTTACGAAATACATCAAGCGTGGATTCGTTAAACTTGACTAAACTCATGTTTGACGGGATGGAACTTAAATATATAACCATTACCGCATTAACTGAGTAAAAATGATTAGATTTACGGGTGCCTAGCATTGTGATTCTATACAGCTAACTCACCAATAAACCGTATAATCAGAACTGCAGATGTGCGGATCGATACTATAGATGTTGATTTATGTATAGATATTGCCGCAGGCTATAAAGTTTTAATATAACAAGACAATGGAACTATGCTCATAAGACGGATAAATGTGACAGTCAATCTTATAAAACTTAGCTTGCGGAAATAGATATATCAGCAATTTCATATAACTGTACCTTATTTCCTACTAAATGCTGTAAAAAATAGATAATTTCTATTTTAACAATTTTTGAATATGATGTTAAAATGTCATAGTACAAGCCAATGTTTAGTGGCATCGATTATAATTAGCAATAAATTTAATCCCGCTTTAGTAGTTAAAATTTAAATCATTAACCTAGTACTATCTCATTTTCCACAATAGCACGGATAGATCACAACTTTCTTATATGTTCACCAATTAGAGGAGGATACCGTAACGATTATCAACGCTAGAAGACTAGTAAGGAATTAGACAGTTGATGTCCTAGTAAGAATAGTATAACAGGTTTTAAATTTCCCTGTACTATTAAAACTGAGTGATTCTGTATATGTACCAATTCATGCAATAGATTGGTATGTTTTAATTGAAATGATATTGATAAAATTACAAAATCCGATTAAATAATGCAAAACTGAATACAGCTGACTATTAAATGTTTAATTTAATACTGTAACCTATATAATAAGGTAATTGTCCCGAGTCTTTACACCCCAATAGTATAAAAAGAAATAAAATAAATAGTTATAATTGTATCATGAAAGTGCAAAGCGTTAATTCATCATAAGCAAGACATTATTCTTAGTAAAATTAGAAATTATATAACTGTAGTATATCGATTTTTAAGCTTAGATTCGCAATTTGATGACTCAAAATTCTGAGTTTTTAAAATAGAGCAAATCTCCAATATGTCATAAGTACTCAAGGCCGTATTCTTGACTTTCAAACTAACGCTTATTGCTTCTGTCTGTCGGAAAAAAATCTAATTTCTTCCCCTCATAAGGACAGTTGAAAGTGGGTAAAAAAACCGAATGATTATCGACTTACTAGTCGACACAGCGACAATTTTATACAACTTATACAAAAAACAATCAAATACCGCTCTACATAGGAGTCATCAATCACATTAGTTTATAACTTAATGACAGTACTTTAATATTGCTACTAGCCACGGCCTTATATACAGTTACTGAATTAAAGATCTTCACTACGTACTTTCACTGTATTCCCTAACATATGCCTACTATAATTAGATGAAATCATTACAACAAAATCGAAATAACATTGAGATTTCAATGTTAAAATTATAAAATAAAAGCTACGTAGGAGTGCTGAAACTTCTGTTTTT